AAGGAAGTACTTCAGATTTTATTATCTCAATATCTCAGAAAGTTGGTTTTTTCTCTATTGAGTGCCACTAACCCATAGGGAACAAAAAAATCAATAGTCTCAATGTACAAGTACAAAACAACTTAATTGGATTTTTTTAACAAAAAAATAAAATCCAATTATGTTTGCTTTCAAAATTAATAACACAGGAAAAAGAAAGAAACTAATGTTTACTATGTACCTACTATGTGCTTTAATCTACTTTAGGTACCTTTGCATCTATTATCTCATTTATGTTTCAAGCAACCAAAGAGGCAAATGTTATTATTCCTATTTTTACAGTCAAAGGAAGCTAAGACACAGAGATGTCAAACTGACTTGTTCAAAGTCACATGGCTGGTAGGAGGCAATGCCAAGTGTGCACAAATAAACCAGCCCATCGGGCTCTGCTGCTCATCTTTTCAGTAGGCCATGCTGTCCTCTCTGAAGAAAACCTTACTGGATGACAATTCGGCAAGCGATAGAAACTTCCTGTCCAAGTCAATGAATGAGACAGAGGGAGCAGGACAATCAGAAGGGAGGAGAAGAGGTGGGGAGTGGGAAGAAGGACGGGCATCCCAAGCTAAATGAAGAATCCAGAAGGAGCCATGGGCTGCACCCAGCGGTAGTGAGCCCCACCTGGGAGGCCAGCGTCAGTACCAATGGTCATGCTTTCCAATAGATTCTTAGATGGTCAAGGCACCAAACACGACCAATATTTCACTGTGTCCTGTGTCCTGCTATGAAGGTGCAGAAGACACAGACAGCCCTGCCCTGAATGCCCACAGCCTCCCAGGGGAGGCAGGATGAGTTGTACCTCGGTCTAGCACAGGTAAATACAAAGAATCAGGAGCAGAGAGGAAGCTGCTCGTGTGGGCCAGAGAAGGCTTCACAGAAGAGGTGACATCCAAGATGGTCTTAGAAACAGAGACTTTCCTTCATGGTCAGGGAAGGAAGGCAGAGGGGAAAAAGTGTGACCAAGCAGGGAGGAAGAAACCCACAGTGTGTGTGCCTGAGAGATGGAAAGGGCCTCTTTATAAATTCCTGGGACAAGAAATTGTTACAGTCTCACTGACATCCTGCCCTCATTAGGCTGAGACTGCATCCTTTAGGACTCTGGTTTTCCCATCATATTGTCTGCATGGAGCCGTGGCCCTGCCCAATTCACCTCAGTTCATTGAACACTTAGTGATGGAATTAGACCCTGGTTTCCTCCCCTTGCCCACAGCCCTGTGCAGCCACTAATGCAACTGTGTTTCATGCTAGGATTCCAAATTACAAAATATTATGAAGTACTTTTCTTGTCTCTATATAACTTTTCCTAATCACAATTCAAACAAAAAGTTCCTTGGCAGAATTGAGGTAATTATGTAAAGAGTTCAGGAGGGCTGCCTTTGAGCTGAGAGAACCTCCGAACCAGCCTCATTAACATAATCCAAGTGTTTCTTTGAAGTCTGGAAATTGTTTTCAACCTCCACAAACCTTTACACTGTTGTCCTTAAAGCAGCTACTTTCTTCCCTTTTAATTAACGAATAACTTAGCAGGTTTTAAATAACTGTGTCTCTATGAATGTAAGAACTGGAGTAAAGCAACTCAAATCCACTTATTGGAATAACCTGAGGAGTCAATAAGTCCTTTCCAACCAGCTTTAGACAGTTAATTAGAATAGATATGTACCTTTCATCTCCCCCTTTCTGCATCATCCTAAAACAGCAGAGCCAGGGTGCAATGCTAGAATAATGGCATGCAGTCTGAAAAGTACCCTAAGTACACTAAATCACTGCAGCCCCTTTCACTTGGAATGATTTCAAAGCACTTATAATATATTTGGTGTGTCTATTCAATGCTGGCTAATAACCAGTAATTGGCCAGGAACCCAGTCATTTACTGCTTTACTTTGACTCAAATTTGTGCCACTTTTCTTTGTCTACTCCACATCCCCAATCATTTGAGGGGTGATTAAAGTGACCAGAGTGGATGTGCAAATAACTTCCTGAAAGTTTAAGCCAATCCTCATTTTTATGAAGTGGTTTATTCAATATAGATTACAATTCTTCTTATTTTCTGAAGGTGGATTTATTTTCATACTAATGAATTTAACCTCTATTCTATATGTTTTTAGTTAAATTTATTTGGGTAATATTGATTAATAACATTCTAGAAATTTTAAAAGTACGACATTATAATTCAACATCTATATATTCTACTGCTGCTCATGACCCAAAGTTTGGTTTCCTCCTGGTACCATATATTTGGCCCTTTACACACTCCACCCCCTTCCTACCCCTCTTCCCCTCTGGTGACCACCATTCTGGTGTCTGTGAGTTTGTTTTTGTTTTGTTAGTTTGTTACTTTTGTTTTATATTCCATATATGAGTGAAACAATGTAGAACTACCATATGATCCAGCAATTCCTCTTTGTGGTGTATGCCTGAAAAAATATGAAACCACTTATTCCTAAAGATATATGTACCCCTATGTTCATTGCAACATTATCTATAAGAATGAAGCCATGGGAATAATCTAAGTGCTTATGAATGAATAATGGATAACTGGACAAAAAAGATTATTTTTATACATATAATATTTTTATATAAGATTGTATATAAAAATGTTACAAATGGCAATATTTCATCTTTTTATGGCTGAGTAGTATTCCATGGCCATATATATATGTGTGTGTGTGTGTATATATATATATATATATATACACACATATACATAAATTATTTTTATAAGATTGGCCATATATATGTATATATAAGAATATATATATATATATGGCCATGGAATACTACTCAGCCATAAAAAGATGAAATACTGCCATTTGTAACATAATGGATGGATGTTTTAAAGTTTTATTTTATTCTCATTCAAGGGCATATCCATTGCTTTTTAGAGAGAGGGGAAGGGAGAGAGAGAGAGAAATATCAGTGCCAGAGAGCAACATCTATTGGTTGCCGCCCATAGATGACCTGACTGGGGATCAAACCCACAACCTAGGTGTGTGCCCCAGCCAGGAATCAAACTGACAACACTCCAGCCTACTGAGCCACAGTGGCCAGGCAACATGGATGGAACTTGAGACAATTTATGCTTTAAAGCTGTTTAAAAAGGAACATAAATAACTATTTTTATTGTATGTTTGTCTAAATAACTTTCAATATATAAGATCCAAGACACTGAAAGAGCTAGCAGATTTAACTTCTAAATTTTTCTAAAACCTTTTAGGACATCTATTTGGGTGCATCTATTCATTCCTGACATTTATCCTAAGAGACCAAGGGTGGAAGTATGATTTCTTGCATTCATATTGGTTACCAAACCCCTGACATCTCCTATGGCCTCTGTCCCTTCTATCTCTGACACGGGCTGAGGGTTATAGAAGGAGCACTATTCCCAGACCTGCTCCCAGAAAGTCAGCACACAATGACTTACAACGTACTTAGATTCATTCTTCAATGTACTGAATCACAAAATTTTGGAGCTGAGGGAGTTCTCAGAAGTTATCTATTTTAAATGTGTTGTTACAGATTAAAAACAACTAAGCCTGGGAAAAGTGAAGTGACTTTCTCAAAGCCACACAGCTAGTTAGGCAAAATTGGGCTTATAACCAACCATTGACTCTGAGTACAAGCCCTGAGTTTTTTGCTCAGTGTTGTCTGCAGACCAGTGATATCAGCATCCTACAAAAGAATGTTAGAAATGCAGAATCCTGGGCCCTGCCCCAGACCCACTGAATCATATTCTACATTGTAGATCCCCAGGGAATTTGTATGCACATTACAATTTGAGAATCACCGGGCAAGACCAGAATGTGTCTTTCTCCAAAGAGCACGAGAACTAGAAGCAAGCAGATGTTGGTTGGAAGCATGAGTCCAATTCTTCTAAATGTGACAAATATCCCAAACTCCTGGAAGCATCATTTGTAATCTGGAAATATTAACATTTCCACCTTACATGGTTTTTATGTGTAAGGTTTTATACATATGTCATTTCGTGACATGTGTATAAGATACAGAGTAGCTCATATTATATCCATCTTCCTGCTTACAATTAATATTGTGTTCAACCTAAAGGAAAGCCAAGAGTGACAGTGAAACCATAAAGGAATCACCACCCTTCCTTTCTTCCTTTGTCCTACTTGCTAAATATCATTTTAAATTTTATATGTAATTCAGATTGCTAGGATATTTAATGTTTATTACTCCCTAGAAGATAATTATTACATAGAAAGTAAATAATAATAGCTAACCACTTTTAGTGCCATTCTGAGAGATAAAAGAAGGTATCCCTAAGTCAGCCACAACCAAAAGAACACAACATTCCTGTAGTAGCTTGGCTCTGGATCCTGTGAACCTGGCCTCAAGGAGCCAGGGAGTGCCTGCTGCTACGGCTGCTGTCACTTTCTCAGACGCTCCACTGCGAGGAGGCAACCCCACAGCTCTGACAACAGTAGTGCACATTTAAAAGATAATGCTCCGTCCCCAAAACGCCACATCTGTCAGCTTCGAGGAAAACATTTTGCAGAAGAAAGGGGAAAAATTTTTAGTATCCAAATCTGAACCAAATTTTTGGAAAAATACTGTATACTACAGTGTGACACCATACTATACCATAGTGTCAAACCATGCCAAAACTATCTTCTTGGAGGAGGCATTTTGGAGGAAATACGATGTTAACCTCAATTAGAAAACCATGTTGCCTTAAGGCAGAGGCTCTCACCTCCAGTGGTGCTTTAGAAACAACTGGGAAGTTTTAAAAACACGGCACATTTGCGGGGGGGGGGGGCATGCTTCAGTGTTTTTATAAGATTCCTAGTTGATTTTAATGTGCAGCCAAAGTTGAGACCCGCTGCCCCACAGGAGCAGAAACCTGATGTTATTTAAAGGTCAGTCCACTGAGAGTTATTGGTTGTTGTTGATATGGAGTTCCCAGAATTTAAAGCAATGCACTGAACTTCAGTGTGTACCTCTTTTAGGTCTTTTCATCATTCCTCCAGGACTTCCACCATAAGGGAAGAAGCTCCTGGACCAACATCCTCTAAGATGTTTATATGGACCAGTGGCCGGACCTCTTCATCTTACAGACACGATGAGAAAAGGTAACTGACAACCCAGACAGGATACCAATGGAAAAGCACTGGACAAATGAGCTGCATGTTTTGCATGTGTTAATGTAGGCTAAGCTCTATGTCGAGGGAATGGGCTTTCAGACTTTTTGCCCTTCCTTCTCAATGCACTCTCCAGGCTCACTTTCACCACACAGCTTTGCAGTGTCTGTCCCTGTGAGAAACGCCCTTTGCACATGCACACCTACTCATCTCTTAGCATACTCCATCTCTGCCTTCAGATACCCATTCAGTCAGAACCTCCCTCCATCCTCTTGATCAGCACAGACTATGTTTTACTCTCCATTGAATTTCTAGCATCTACCACTATACCTGGCTTATAGACAATGCTCATTACTTACAGAACTGAAATGATGACTACTGCGTTTCAAGGCACTAGACACATGGTAGGGAAGGAAAGCAGTAACAGTGAGAGAAAAAAAGAAGAGGGACAAGTCTGTGGAACCCTCAGATTCCCTGCAACAATAGTCTGGGGTAGGGGAGAAATGAGGGAATAAGAAAAAAGGTTAAAGGGCACTGGCAGTGTTAACGAAAAATAAAATGACAAATACACAGCTCAGTCCAGCCCTCCCACATGGGTGAATGCATACATAAAATTCTCTGGCCACTTTTAAATATGTTTTCTTCAGTGTCTCTCTCTTTTTCATTAACCTTTCACTATTACTTAAGTTTGGTAAAACTTACTTTTAAACAAAAGTGTCTATACTAGTATTTTGCAACATAATCACACCTCACCTACCTGCAGATTGCGATAGAAATCAGGATTGATAAATTGTGCTGGAAACAAGAAGAAAGACCTGAGGGAAGATTATTAGAATGTAGTTTGAAGAGCTAGTACTTTTATTTTTTTTAATCTGTATTTCCATACAGATAAGAGCCTTTGAAAAAATCTGAAAACAAAATTGTTCTTCAGAATAATTATATATTACAGCAAAAATCTTGAAGCAACTTTAATATTCACAATAGAAAACCTGTCAAATTATTTTTAAATTAGTATTTTTAAATGTTTTGTCATAATATTAACTAAAAATCAGGTTGAAAAATTGCATACAAACAATTATTACAGCCACAAAAATACATGCATAAGAAAGTGCATGTTTTTCAATTCTCAACTTTCCAAGAGCTTTATAATATATTATCTTCATTTAAAAAAAATAATGACATGACGTTTGAGTAAAATCACAGTACAGAAGGCAACTAGTGTTAGAACAAAGTTCAAAAAAAACTCTGTGTTCATCATAATACACACAAATCAACTGAAAACTTACTGTCTTTGTTCATCTCTAGAATTTCACATGCTTCTCAATGTTTAATCAAGTTATTTTTCTACTTGCTTTCAAGCCAAGTTGAATCATCTTTTGGCAAGACCTATACTAGAAGACTAAAATCCCATGTGTCTTTTCAAAGTTCCATATTACATATGTACTTCCTTCATTTCCTTAAAAAACAAAAATCCACCACCAGCGATGGTGCAGCAGGGCAGAGATTTTGTCGCACTAGGAGAATTGTGACTGCCAGTGGCCAGCCCTTCCTTAGATTTTGAAGGCTTTGTCAGAGTAAGTAAAGTGAGACATATTTGTTTCAGATTCCACTTATTCTCATCAAAACAATTTGAGTGCATTTTGCTCTGCATATCTCTTCCTACGAAGGACTAACATTCAAGAACAATTACTGTGTACTGCATGTTTTACATGAACTGTTCTCTTTCCATGTATGAGATAGGAATTATTGTGCCCATTTTATAGATGGGGAACTGAGGTTCAGAGATTTTAAATAACTTCCTAAGGTCCAATAACTATCCAGTGTTGGAATCAGGGTTTGAACTCAAGGTCATACTCTCTCCCCTACACCCCACAGGTTGCATAGCGTAAAACATGAGATATTTGGAGAAGCAGTGAAAAGTCAAGCCCACAAGGCAAAAATGTTGTTAAGATAGAGTTGACAATAGTGATATTAAAGGAGGTAACAAACATATGAATATGATTTATTGGCGATACTTATAGAGTTAAATGGAGCAAATAATTAGCTTCACATTTTGCACTAATAAGATTTATGAAACTCTTAAATTACTATTTATCCTTTTTTTCAAAGTTTGATTTCAGTGACCATGGGATTTAAAATAATTAAAATATTGACTATAAATCAGTCATTTTCAGCAGGCTTTATTTAGAGAATGGGGATGCCAAGACTTATTAAATTAATGTGCATGGCATTGGCCTACAAAGTCAAGGGCAAATGGAAAAACAGCCAACAAATATAGAAGTAGAAATTTCCCCTAGGCCAGTATCTTTAGTTTGATGTTGGTTCATTTGCCTGTATCTTTCTTGACCACATTTTCATCTTCATTGTAGTAGCATAAGACTCAGAGTTTAAAACTGACTTCGAACAACAGCTGATGTTCTTGGCGGCAGTAATCATGGTTATAATGAAGGTGATGATGGCTGACAATGAATCTAGATCATTAAGGTCCTCAAGTTAACTATTCTGAAACAAATGAACTAGGTTGTGGGCAGCACTGCCCAGAACTGCTGGTCCTTGTTGCACCCTCAGTTCCTTCTCATTCAGCCAACCTGGCCTCTGTGTCTGGCTTCCCCAGCTGTGCTCCGCAGCAGTCCCAGAGGCCAGGCAGCCGGCATCCTTGGCTCCACTCCACGTGGCCTCTCCTGAGACCAAACTTCTCAGGATATTTGCTGCCCTGGGACTCCTGAAGAGGTGGAATATCAGGAGATAGTTTACAGACAGGTACAGCAACCAAGTGGAAGGAAAAGTCCACCGAAAATTCTGAAACCAAGTGTTTTAATGCTCAAGGGAAGTTGAACTCAATTTTACTCTTTGTTTATTATTGTAATTCATTGCCAGTCCTGATTATTCACTATATGCAAAACACTGTTCTTTATCCTTATCCTCCATTCCACGCACCCAGCAATATGAAAAAAAACTTTACTTTTTCCTTTTCTAATAAGTGCGCTTACATTAATCCCTAAATTTTAGATGGTAAAATAAAATAGCAGCAGGAATAACTAATTTAGAATTAGAAGAAAAGGTTATTGGCTAAAGACACAACAGCTGAGTATCAAATATTCTTCAAAGTGTTTTATTAAACACTAAACTGATATGAATAAATATGTGTCACATGTCGACATACTAAGAATAATGACATAATAAACATCTGAGTACGCTTCATTAAACTTTAAAACATCAGGGTTTTTGACACCCTTGAGGATGCTTCTCTAAAGGCATCATCCTTCCTATCCCAGCCCCCAGCCAGAGATAACCAGGGTCTGCCTTTTGTGTTTATTATTCCCTTGCTTTTCTTCATGGATCTTTCACATGCCACAAGATGTTGTTTACTTCTGAATGTTTGGAGAGTTTATATAAATGAAATCATAGCATAGGAATTGTTCTGCAACTCATTTTACCGAACTCAGTGTTCCTATTATTTACATGTGAGTAGCTGTGGCTCATTTTCTCTCTAGTTGTACGCCATTATGTAAATACACTGCCATGTATTCACCCAGTCTCCTGCTAATAGACATTTGTATTATTCTCAGTTCTTCTTCTACCAATAATGCTGCTGGAATACTTTTTACTGATGTCTCCTCGTACATGTGCAAACACTTCTAAGGATATATATCTAACTTGGGAACGGTTGGTTTGAAAGTACGCAGTTCCCACTTTCCCAGGTAATCCCATGGCCTTCCAGAGCAGCTCCAGATGCAGATGTGGTGCTACTGCCCTACAGCCTTGCCTAGAGTTTTCGGATTTTTAATTTTTATCAATTCAGAGGGTATTGTGCTTTCAATTCCCATTTCTCAGATTAGGAATAACATCGAGCCTATTTCTCTAGTTCTTTTTTCCCAAGTGCCTGTTCAAGAATGTGGCCCATTTTTTTACTAGATTGTTTGTCTTTTTCTTACTGATTTGTAAGAGTTCTTTTCTTTTGAAGATTTAAAAAAATCCTCACCCGAGGATATGCTTATTAATTATTTAGAGAGAGAGAAAGGGCAGGGGGAGAGAGAAAGAGAGACATCAATTATCAGTTCCCTCTCCTATGCTCCCCGACTAGGGATTGAACCATAACCTAGGTATGTGCCCTAACTAGGATCAAACCTACAACTGCAACCTTTTGATGTACGGGACAATGATCCAATGAACTGAGCCACCCACCAGGGCTCAGTTATAAGAATTCTTTCTAAAAGTTTATATTAACCCTTTGTCTGTTTATTGTGTGCAAATAGCTTCTCTAAAGAGTTTACACAAAGTTCATTACATTTATTCCTAAGTTTCTTTTTCTAATATTTAAATTATATTTTCTATTTTTGCAAGTATATAGGAAGGCAAATAATATATGAACTTTTTGTTTCAACTATGCTAAATTTTATCACTAATTCTAATAACTTATCTGTATATTCTTTTGTATTCTCTTCATAATTATATCATTGTTGAATAATACATTATTATTTCTTTTTTATCAGTAAAAATATTGTTTACCATTCTTTTGTTTTTCTTGTTTTATTACACTAGCTATAAATCATGTATAAAACAGATGACTTCTGGCCAAGATGGAGTCATAGGTAGATACACTTTGCCTCCTTGCACAATCAAAAGAAGGATAAAAACAAATTTAAAAACAAAAATACCCAGAACTGCCAGATAATTGAACTATATGAAAGTCTGATAACCAAAGAGTTAAAGAAGAAACATTTACCCAGACTAGTAAGAGGGGCAAAGACAGGTAGCCAGGGTAAAGAGGATTCACAGCAAGATGGTGGCCAGTGGACCAGGTGGTCCCACATTTTCATGCAGATAACCTGGGAGGAACAACTGGGGAGCAAGATAGACTGCACAAACCAGTGTTCCAGCACAGGGAAATAAAGCATCAAAACCTGTGACTGTAAAAATCTGTGGGGGTTGCAGTGATGGTGGAAACTCCCAGCCCACAGGAGAGTTCATTGGAGAGACCCAAAGAGTCC